CTCCCTCATACCGAGCGCGCGGGAAGTTCACACGACGAGAGCTCGGCGGCAACTGAGGGCCGGGTGCGCGCGCAAGCCACCGTCCGCCTCGTGTGTGCCTCCGCCCCCCTGACGATATTATCTCAGTAGGCGCCTCCTTCTGTTGTCGTGTTAGACTCGTGTTGGCTGTGTGCGCAGTCTCAGTGACATGGGCAGATATCACAGGAGTTAGCCTCTCTGTTCATAAGGTTCCCATCATCATCCACAGGAAGACAGCACTTGGGGGGGGCTAAACTTGCGGTGCGGCTTCTGCGTCTGCGCACCTTGGCCCTAATCTAGGATTATGGAGGCTTATCTAAACTCGCTGTTTATAAAGTATGTTTTTGGTTGGAAATTAGCTAGTCGTGGATGGCACGACCAGGGTGACGCATCGGCGGTGACGCTCTGAGACTTTTGCGAACGACAAACTCTGATTAGAAAAAGGAAAGCGAACTCCATCGGCTTAAGTGAGCGCGCGTTTTAGTGACGACACGGCTTTGGGGGTTTAGCACGTGGCAGCAGTGACTTTAATCGGTGCTAACGCAATCCCCGTTTTTGGAAGATTCGAAATAGTGTCGGGTTCGTGGTTCGTCCGCCTCCCGCTGTTCCAGGACTGCTCGCCTCGACTCTGCCCTTCGTGCGACGACCATGGTGGTGCTTCGCTGCGTGCTGTTGCAGCGGGTGTCGTAACCGAGAGGTCAAAGGGTGTAGGGTCCCGTGGCACTGGCACAGACAGGCACTACCGCCCTCGCTCTCGTCGACTCCCGTCACCTTCAGCCGAGTCGGGCGAAGGGGAATCGGAAACCACAGAAGTTCCCGTCGCCGCCGTCGCTTCCGCTGAAACACCACCACCACAGGAGCCGAACGACCCTCGCCACCACCAGGACGACGACCAGCGATTAGTGCGGGGGAGGACCGTCGTGCCCCCTCCCCCCCGCCCGCGACCTCACGTTGACCTGGCTTCAGCGATGGACTTTCAGAGCGCCATGGAGACGTTTGCAGAAGCGTGGATGGCGGCCAACACGAAGTCCCGAGCCGACTCCTCAGACCCCCAGGTGAGTGGCCGCCCTTCCTGGCGTTTAAGGGAGAGGCGGAGAAAAAGGGAGAAAATCCCGCTCTTTTAGGGTACTCTCCTTCACCCAGTCCGACGAAATCCAACCCCCAATCCCCTTTCTACTATTCATAAAGAGGTATTAGTATATTTCCCTCACGTTAGGCAATAGGGATCCCGTGGCAGGTGCGCGCGCGAGTGAGCGGAGAGATATCTCGATCAGGTCCCCGCGGATGATAAAGAAAAGGAGAAGAGAAACCGCCAATAGGAAGAGTAGAGAATAGGAAAAGTAAGAAAGGGGGGAATAAATCTAATGAGGAACCCAATAAACCATAAACTCAAACGATACGCGGTAGGCTGTTGTTGGGAAGTGAACGCAGGAGCGGCAGTAGTTTCTCGCTTCTGAAATTCAAAGGTTAGCTCGCCGTTCGAAAGTGATTCAAGAGATGAGCTTCTGATTAATGATTCCGAGAAGGCGGCGCGAGGACGAGAATCTGCCGCGGTTTTCTATTTTGTTTTAACAGCCTTTGCCTCCGAGACGAACACGCCATGAGACCGACAACACGTGACAAGAGTTTGGTTAACACGCGCGGCTTAATGCTTAATCTCAAGAACGGATATGTGCGTGTTATGTGTAACTGTATGTGTGTGTGTGTTTACGTGTGCGTGTATGTCTGGATTTATGTGTGCGTGTATTTGTGTGTTAGTCTGTGCGTATATTGTACGTTCGTGTGTTAGCCTGTGCGTCTGTTTCCAATGTTGCCACTTCTTACATGCAAAAATACCGTATTCCCTAATCCGGTGATAAAAAGATTAACTATGTATTTTTTTTTTCATTATAAAGATATATGGTCTTGATAATCCAAATAGAACCGCTAATCTTATTCAACGCAAAACGAAGGAGCATGTCTGTAACTCGAGCGGCAGTGTTACCAGACAGTTTTTAACCATCCCTTCCGATTCCGACCGAGCGTGAGTCGGCAGAGGGTCCGACGCCTTACCCGGTCAGGACACGTCAGTCCCGGGCTCCAGATACGAGGACATTGCTATGAGTACGACAGCGCAGGTGAAGGTAGACTCTCATAAATTAAATCAATTCTAATTCATTCATTTCCGATCTCACGAAGTCAAAATCGGCACAAAATCCAGGTAAATATCCAAAGAAAAAAAACTTATCCGCGGCGCCATCCATGTGGCCTCGTTTCATCCACAAAACTGAGGATTTTCCCCATGAGGTGGCAACTCTGTGTGTTTGTGCATTTGATTTTGCGTCTTTGTGCGTGTTTGGAAGCCCGTGTACAGTACGAAAGAATTGTTACGTATATTTCTGACGTCAATGTCTCGTTCAAATGAGTTATAAAAACTAAATAAAAAGAATTGTGACTAAGCCCGTCTAAGACGCATGTACGCACGTATATTGTTACGGTAAGATAGAAAAAAAAAATGAGACTAAAGATAAGAAAACAAAGAACTGAATCAGCAATAAAAAAAAAACAAAGGGCCATGAGTCTCAGAATGTATCAATCATAATTTTTTTTTTTAAGTCAAGGGCTCTTAAAACATATGCATTTACATTACTTTTATTACCATTTGATTGGTGTTCTTAGCACCCAATGCTGGAACCAGTGGATTTCATGCCCAGTTAAACCGAGTAAACAATTCTCTTCCTCCGCTTTTGGATGGTTTCGGAAGTTAAAACTGCTGAGTGAGTATGAGATTACAGGTGGTGGCTCAAGTACGCTAAAGGTAAGTCAGCGGAGTTATCATAGTCAATCTCTTCAGTTATAGCAACAATTAATTCTACTAATGTTTAAGGCCTAAAATATTTGCAATAAGGTCTCCGTACTTTCCATCGTATCATATACATATGCGAAACAAAACATGTTATTGATATAATACTTACGATATATATGTAATATATGTAATATATGTAATATATATATATGTGTGTGTGTGTGTGTGTGTGTGTGTGTGTGTGTGTGTGTGTGTGTGTGTGTGTGTGTGTGTGTGTGTGTATACATACATATATATATATATATTATATATATATATATATATATATATATATATATATATATATGTGTGTGTGTGTGTGTGTGTGTGTGTGTGTATGTGTGTGTGTGTGCATATATATGTGTATATATTGTATATATATATATATATATATATATATATATATATATATACATATATACATATATATATATATATATATATATATATATATATATATATAATATATATACATATATATATATATATATATATATATATATATATATATATATATATATGTATGTATATATATCTATATATATATATATGTATATATATCTATCTATCAATATATATATATAGATAGATAGATAGATATATCACATAGCTAATAGAATAAGTAATTTGAATAAAAATTTCTTCACATTAAGAATTTAAAAAATGTCAAATTGCTTAACTAGATTAAACAATGATTAAGAAAATGAAAAAAGAGCATTAAACAGAACATTTAATCTTATCGTAAAAGTTTTTGTTAATTAGTTTAATATTTCGTTTTAAAAATCACTGTAGAATTGGCGATGCTTTTAACATCAATAAAGATGATAATTACCGATATAATGATGAAATAACATATGAAATATTAACTATTAACTACAATATTAACGATTATTATGAAGTATAATAATTGTAAATGGTAATAATGATAATAATGATGGTTATGATAATAGTAATAATAATAATAATAATAATAATAATAATAATAATAATAATGATAATTATGATAATAATAATAATAATAATAATAATGATAATAATAATAATAGTAATAATAATAATAATAACAATAATAATGATAATGATGATGATAATATTAGTAGTAGTAGTAGTAAAAATAATATTATTGATAATGATAATGTTAAGGATTATGATGTTAATAATAATGCTAATGCTAATATGATGACAATAATGATAATAATTATTATTATCATTATCAGTGTTATCATTATTATTATTATCTTTATCAGAAAAAACATATAATGATAATAATTAATAAAAAATAGATAATAAACAAAGAAACAATATATGCAATATAATGTATATAGGAACACCAAGACAATCATTGTATACTCTGTTTTTGTATTATTACTGTTGCATTTTGCATTTTCATCAGATATCCCGCGCAATAATATTTTTTTTATCAACTAAATACGTAGCTTCATAGTTAAATTGAGAGCATGCACGCTCAAAGGTGTTCTCAGCCCTAAAATCCGTTTATTATAATGCTATGTTAGTTTAAACTCTCATTTATACCATAAGTAACGATGTATTTACGATAATGCAATATAATCTTATGGTTTTCATGTATTAACATAGACATATCGATGTTGATGATATAGAAGAATAATCAATTTAACAAGACATACAATAAACGCTTTTTCAGACGCACACGCACAGTTAATGATAAGAATCTGAACAGTCTTAATACAAAGTTACATAGCAATCATATTGAGAAATGGCAATGATAGAATAGCATAAATACTAAGATAACAGCAGTAATGAGGATGATTACATTATTAATAGCGGTGATAATGATCGTAATAATAATAACAATAATGATAATGTTCATGATAATAATAAAAATAAGGAAAATATTAATTAGTATTGATATTAGCGATTATAAAAGAAATGATGATAATAAGGACGATAATATTAATGATAATAATACTTATCATAATAACGATCATGATGAGAGCAATAACTGAAATAATGATTAAATAATAATAATAATGATAAGAAGAACACCAATTATTACTATAATAATTATTGTTGTTATTATTATTATCATTATTATTATTATTATTATCATTATAATTCTTATCATTATTATTATTATTATTATTATTATTATTACTATTACTATTATTATTGTCATTATCATTGTTATTATAATTGTTGTTATCATTATCATTAATATTCTATTTACTAAAACATAGAATTACCGTTAACATCACCATCCCTATCAATGTTATAGTATCATCAGCATAAAATGGCCATCATGAAATAGAAATTCGCTAGCATCTATCGCTCATCTATAAAGCAGATTTCTATAGTTCACTGTTTTGCTTTATAGTAGCAGATTTACAGTGAATAGTTTATGGTGTTGACAGAACAAAACAAAATCTCATGCTGGTAACTGCTGAATGTAAAGATACTGTAAAACCATACTGTATATATGTTGTTAGGGTCTAATAGATAATATATTACTAATAATACAGTAATTGCAATTTATGCATATATATGTATGTGTATATATAGGCATACACACACACACACACACACACACACACACACACACACACACACACATATATATATATATATATATATATATATATATATATATATATATATATATATATATATATATGCATATATATTTATATATATATATATATATATATATATATATATATATATATATATATGCATATATATATATATATATATATATATATATATATATATATATATATATATATATGCATATATATATATATATATATATATATATATATATATATATATATATATATATACATATATATATATGCATATATACATATGTATATAAATATATATTATGCGTATGTGAACATTTATATTTACATAAATATATTTATATATATTATATATATGAAATATATATGTGTATGCATGTATTTATATAATAATGTATATATATACATATATACATATATATATATATATATATATATATATATATATACATATATATATACATGTATATATATATATATATATATAATATATATATATATATATATATATATATATATATATATATATATATATATACATGTATATATATATATATATATATATATATATATATATATATATATATATATATATGTATGATACACACACACACACACACACACACACACATATCTATATATATATATATATGTGTGTGTGTGTGTATATATATATATATGTATATAGAATATATATAATCAGTATTGTATGTCATAAAAACAGTAATAAAGATTTCCCATGTCATTTTTCATATTTTAGGAAGTATCTAATCAAAACAGTGATTCCGATCTTACCAATACAAATATCACTCCTTACTTGTTCTGGATGAGATTATGATTAAGTCTGTAATATAGACTGAAAAAAACAAGTAAGAAGAGTCCGAAGCCATTGCCCAGCGATCTGAACACCCAGGTTCGGAGAGCGAAGGGAATAAATTCAATTCTACGCTGTATCTGTAGACTAAGGAATACCCTCTGGTTCTTAATGTGAGGATGAGTCTCTAAGCGCGTGTGCCCCATTTGCAAAACAAAAAGAAACACTAAATGGAAGAGAGAGTGATACATAAATAGATGACAAGAATTTCGCATATTGGCATTTTGTGGCATGTCATACCGGTCGTGGTTGCTGCTGCATATTGAAAACTGCTTAAAATCGTCAGGTATGAAATATCCAAGACTCTGAGTGACCCGCATTTCGATCCTCAGCTGTTCAGATCCTTTAAGAACGGAATTCTATGAATAATAATAAAACCCAAGTTCTATTTACGTCAGTCTTTACGAGGAAATTTTAACGAAGAAATTACCTTTTGAATTTGGATCAGATGTTCGCGTATAGCGAACGAATGATCAAATCTGCATATGAGAAATATTAAGGTAAAGTACTTAAACCATGAAAAATCAAAATACTAACGATATGCGCAGCCCCATTGCATGCTCTAAGCCAAGGGGTTGTGTGACACGCACTCTTGTGCTCTTCATATTTATTAATTTGGAGTTTATGCCGCGGATAACTATGCGGGCACACACACGCGCGCTTTTGCGTGTTAATCATTAATCGGATTTTGTATATGATACATGGCGCTACGTAAAACCGCAGTCGCAAATTATCCCTGTGATGAGATTTAATCAGCATGTCTTGGCCAGCGGAGCAAGAAGGAGCGGTGTATCATGTGCACTGACGGACGCTAATGGCTGTCCCCTTCTCTCGCCTGCTCCTCCGCCCCGCGAGATTAAACAGGTAGAACAATGAACGAAAGTACCCACCAACACGGAAATCATACAAAGAAAAGTCATTTAAAAGACGTCACTTTCCCAAAGAAAAAGAAAATCGCAGAGTAACTAATCTTGAGGTTGCTTACATTTCAGCGGGAAGGCAGTGCCGAGCGGTCCAATGGGCGGTCAGAGGAGGAGGTCACTTCGCGGGAACCCAACGCACATCTGACCAATGGGAACTCGCCAAACAGACAATCGCCCGTCCTATTGGCTAGAGACCCCGAAAGCAGCCCGAAGCCCCTGTCAGTCGGTGAGTAACGGAACGAGTCTACGTTTGGGACGGGAAAGGGGAGGGGGGGGGAAGGGATGATGAAGGGCATAACAAAAAAAAAAAATGTTTTGTGTGTGTACGGATCCCTTTTTTCTCTTTTTTTTATTTTTATCGATGGGTTTATCTGCATTTTATTTCGTATCAGTCACTACCTGAACTATTTGGGACGAGGGTAGAGGGAGGGAGGACAGATGAACCGCCAAAAGAGTGACGTTGTTGTGACTGGTATCTTGTCATGTTATAGTTATTCAATTACCTTCATGTTATTATTTTGGGCACTAAAGTTAATCTATACTTTGAGTGGTAACAAGACTGATGTTCGAAAGGAGGGTGTGTTTGACAATCATCGGTATTATTTTTAAATCATTTTATTTCCCTTGTTTTCTTCCTCCTATAGTATCATCATTATTGTTTGTAAGTCCGACGAAATGAGATAAAGATTTTGTCAGTGCTACATAATTTCCTATCTTAAGGGGTATGCAGTAATCTCCAAACCTGTATCCCTCTACCCCATCAATTTCGCAGTAATTGGCCTCGTCTCTGTTTCATATTATGCTTTATCAATATTGCTACTGTTTTTTTTTTTTTTTTTTTTTTTTTTTTTAAGGAGAGGAGATGAGACAGTATAACTAGCCAAAAAGTTGTCTCTAGTTACATTTTCTCTCATTCTGCGCATATTTTTGTACATTATTGTTGTGATTATTATTATTATTACAAGGGGAGGTGGGGGGGGGGGGTTACGTAATATCATCGTAAAATACTTACTGTTATTACTACTCATTTCCAATTGAGAATTTAAGCTTTTATTTCGTATCTTAGTTTAAGGTGTCTGTTTGTGGAAATCTTCAGTTTGTGGTTTAATGAATAATCAGGTTGTGTTACTTATTAACGATGATAAAGAACCAAAAATACAGAGATGGAAATAAAAACTCATTGTCTGTACAATTTGCCTTGAATTTTCAACTTTTTTTTCTATTTCATTTGAATCCTTATATGAAAAAAAGAAATGAAATGTAGGTGATTATTACTCGGTAGTTCTTAGAATTAAAAAATAGCTGGATTTTTCTTTCTTTTTTCCGTTTTTATAGAGTCATGTAGTCTGTAAAAGTCGCGATTTTCCTTCAGCCTAACGATGGTTTTAATACCGATAATTATCGAAAAAAATACATAAAGAGGATTTAAAATTTCCGAACACTGATCTGGTAATAATGAGGTTTCTGTAATGATAAAACCTCGATAGTGAAATCCCAGCTTTTGAGCCTAATGTTAAAAACCCCGTAATGATAAATTTAACAAATAGGCCTACATGACGACCCGGCTAGATCAGAAGAGTTTATGTATGCGGCAATGCAAGGGATTTTAATCTAATTGGTTATAATACCGCAATTGGGAACATGAGCTAATAATGCGCTCCGATTAATGGGGGTGGGGGATACTAAAAAAAAAAAAAAAAGGATAAAAAAGAAAAAAAAAAAGTATATATGATGTAGAGCGAGCGAATGCACCAGTCGCAAAATACCTTTCAAAAACGATCCCTCAAGCTGGCGCCAATTGGAAGAGCTGTTACGTGACCGATTTTTTTTGAAAAGGGACGATGTATTTTGGAGAAAAAAAAAAACTATCTGGATTCTCAAAAAAAAAAGGTAAATGAATATAACTCGATGTGATGTATAGTCTCTCTCTCTCTCTCTCTCTCTCTCTCTCCTGTATATTGAACGATATCAAAAGAAAAATGAGAAGGTTAATCACTTGTATATTTATTGTTTGGTAAAGCGAAATATCAAAGAATGCTTAAATTGCCGCACTTTTGATTGGCCGTAAATATAATATAGACGTGTATTGTCGATAGATAGAATCAGATAGATGGGTAGATAGATAGATGTTTTCTTCATATGTTAATATTTATGATACTAGTGATGATGATTATTATTAGTGTTGTTAATGTTATCATTATCATATCTATTATGATTATTATTATTATTGCTATTCACACGCGCCTTTATCACTATTTCCATTCCTGTTGTGTTCACTCTCGTGTTCACTCTCGCTCTTATTCGGTGTATGTTGCGAATTCAAATTAATAAACCCATTTTCACTCTCTTTATATAATCATCGTCACCATTGGGTAGAAAGATGGATGGATGGATGGTGGCTTCACTCTATATGGGTTGTATGAACAGACAGATAGATAAATGGATAGATAGATAGGTAGGTAGGTGGATAAAGAAATGGATAGGTGGATAGATAGATAGATATATAGACAGACAGGCAGACAGAGAGACGGATAGATAGATGAATATACAGATAGATAGATATACATATGCACAGTCTCTCTCTCTCTCTCTCTCTCTCTCTCTCTCTCTCTCTCTCTCTCTCTCTCTCTCTCTCTCTCTCTCTCTCTCTCTCTCTCTCTCTCTCTCTCTCTCTCTCTCTCTCTCTCGATTTTTTTTTCTTTAAAATCCATTCTGTTTAATATGTAATTGTGTAATATATGGATGAGCGGTAGATTAAGGTTGGTGGTTGGTATAGTTTTGCATAACGATAGCGATTACTGTTAATACTTTTGCATTAGTCCAGCAAAAAATAGGAAGGTAATGTCTATATTTATATTTACCTGCCTTTTTATTTGTTTGTAGTCCTATATACGTGTATCCGATTTTATACATGTATTTATCAACGTTAGCTAGGGGTTAGTAATTTTACATGTATAGTTGTTCATACACACAGCGCAAACACATACACACACACGCACGTACGCACAGATACACATACATACATACACATGCACACGCACACATGCACACACACACACACACACACACACACACACACACACACACACACACACGCGCACACACACACACACACACACACACACACACACACACACACACACACACACACACACACACACACATACACACACAAACATGTACGCACACACACACACATATATATCCATACATACACATATAGATTGATAGATAGGTAGGTATATGTATGTATGTATGTGGCTGTGTATGTGTGTATGTATAGATTCTCTGTCATGTTATCTGGTGTCATTATCTTTCTTTGTCTTGTTATGTTTATTCTCCTTTTCTTCCTTTTCTAATTCGTTCCTCCTCGCCTTTCCCTTCACCTCATTCTCCTTCCTTCTACGCCTCTTCATCCCTCCTCTGTTTCCATTTCCTTTTCTCTGACTTTCTCCTACTCTTCCTCCTCATCCTGCCTCTTTCCTCGATCTTCATCATTTCCTCCTCCCTGCATCATCATCCCCCCCCCCCTCCTCTTCCTCTACCCTCTCCTACTCCATCTCTACCTTCCCCTCCCCTGCCTCTTCTTTCTCCATCTCTGCCTCCTTCTCCTCCTCCTCCTCCTCCTTCTCCTCCTTCTCCTCCTCCTCTCTCCTCCTCCTCCTCAAATCCCTACCTCCGTCCCTTCCTCTCTAACTTCTCTCTCCTCCTCCTACTCTTTCCACTTTCTATTTCCCCTTCGAACGAACCCTCCCTTCTCCCCTCTCTCCCCTCTCTTCCTCATCCCTCTCCTCTCCTCTCTCCCCTCTCCTTTCCCCTCTCCTCCTCTCTCCCCTCTTCCCTCTCCCCTCCTCCCTCTCCTCTCTCCCCTCTCCCTTCTCCTCTCTCCCCTCTCCCCTCTCCTCCTCTCTCCCCTCTTCCCTCTCTCCCCTCTTCCCTCTCCCCTCTCCCTTCCTCTCTTCTGCAGCAACAGTTAGTCGATGTCACAGTGGAGGGGAAAGCTTACGTCCATAGCTTATCCAAGTGGCTCATAGATTCCACCGCCATTGGTGTGGTTTCAGAGACGGAGAGGAACGGGGGAGGCAGAGAGAAGAGAGAGAGAGAGAGAGAGAGAGAGAGAGAGAGAGAGAGAGAGAGAGAGAGAGAGAAAGGGAAAGAGAAAGGGAAAGAGGAAGGAGAAAGGGAAAGAGAAAGAGAGAGGGAAAAAGAAAGATAGGAGGGAAAGAGAGACAGACATTCACACAGACAGACAGAAAGGCAGAAAAAGACAGACAGGAAAAGAGAAAGATGGACAGGATGAGAGACAGAGAGAGAGAAAGAAAAAGAGGAGAATGGATGAAGAGTGTGTGCACGTGGACCTGTTTGCGTGTGCGTGTGCGTGTGTGTGTGCGTGTGCGTGTGCGTGTGTGTGGGTTAGAGAGAAGGGGAGTGAGATGATGTTCCAATGAATATATGAAAGAGAACGGGTGTGAGAGAGATGGATAGATAGATAGATAGAGGGGGAAGAATGGGGCTGTAGAGCAATAGAGAGAAAGGAGCGAAAGAGAGAGAAGCATTTGTGAGGATAAGAGTTAGCGGAAGAAAGAGATGAAAGAAAAAGGGAGGAAAGAGGAACAGAAGAGAAAACGAAATGCGTAAAATTAATCGACAAAGATCGTTTCCGCCCAGACAGTGTGATAGTTTTATATATATTTTAGAATTCATAAAATGTACCTTTATTTCAGTGTCAGGGTAGCTTATTATCTGCACGACATTTTTATCAGTTTATTTTCATTATTCTCCTTACGGAATTCATTACTGTATCTCGTAATCCGCCTTTGATTAGCTTATGAAGCTTAATCTGTATCCATATATTCTGAATTAAATAGTAAGAGGCTTTTATTTTTTTATAATTTTTTGCTTATATTATTTTATGATTCTTAATTATTTTCCTTTCTTTTTATTCCTTATTTTGTTCTTATTGTGCTTTTTAACATCTCTCAAATTAAATTCCTTCTTTGTCTTCGAAGTTTTAGTAATATAATTATATTCAGTAATATAATGATATATTTATTTTTGTCTTCTTTCATACAATGTATTCTTTTAGTTAATGAACATTTATGTATAACTTTTTCTTTCACTAAACTCCTTTTTATTATCCGATAGTTATATTTTGTTTGAATTAACTAATTAACTAATTTACATATTTTCAGACTTCCATTTCCCGCAAAATCTGTTTTATATTTC